CGCCCTGCATGCAAATGCGCGATGGTCCTCCAGGGCTTCGAGTACTGGCCAATGAGGACGCTCGTTATCGGATAGGACAGACGACAAGTCGCGCAAATCGATAGTATCGGTGTTGCTTGTGCTGTTGCCTTGAAGAGTTGGTAGTAAGACGTGCGGGGAGAGGATGCGCGAAAAATTGCTCTGCATCAATAATGTCCGCAGGCTCACACTGGTGTTGGTGTTTTTTTGCTTTTTGGCACATGGCGTCTGTCTCCACGCTGGATTTGCCGGGGTAAGTCGACGGCAAGGGTACTGGCCAGCCGTGTCCGTGTCTTGTGTATGCCATCTCAACCTATCATATCAATATCTTGTCCCAGACCCAGGCTTTCGGGGAAATCGGTACGTTTGAGGCGCCGTGAGACTAACCGTTGCGAGCTGCATGCGTTCGCGTTCGTGCTAAAGAGTCACGGCCCAAAAGTTATCGACGGCCTCTTCCCCCTTCGGCATGCTATGCTCCCACCATCCCGCGTGTCCCTCGATCTTCTGTCCTGCCCGGCCACTATATAAAGGCCTGCCATATCCCTCCAAAACCTGGGTTTCGCATGGTGCTCGCAACATCCTCGGTACGCGCTCGGCCCCCACCAAAAAGTCTTGGAACTTTCGCTAACGTGAGGACAGCGCCCATAGTCAGCAGCGACATGTCTCCGTCCTAGATCGATCGCATCCTCTGCGGGATGCCCAAGCATCGCCTTTCATGGCGGGTTTCGGGGACCCTACGATCACATTCGCGCAACGAAGCAGCAATGATGCGCCATCGCCCCGAGCACCACCCGCAAGACGATCGCTCCCCAGCGGACCGTGCAACTACCGCGACGCAGCGGTGGGAAGATGTGGATGTGACCAGTTCTGGGACAAGCGCAGCGCCGACCTTCACGACGAGAGCGTTGAACATGGGCCAAGCAGTGAGCGCTCGACCTGGTGTGTCTGCGGACACCATGCCTGCTTTCATCTCAGGGCGGCGCGCGCGCAGTCGATACCAGTAGCTGCCCCGCTACCTCCATTCTATGCAACATGTGAAGCTCAATGCCAGTTGCCGCCTGGAGCGCAATGCAACACACATGCTAGTCTGAGACCACGGGAGCATCTTGCGCAACGAGATCAAGGCATGTTCAGGCGCGTAGATATGCCGTCTAGTCCTAGCCAGCATCTCGTACGACAAGCCTCACAGGCCCATGAGCCCGTTCGCATGGCACACAGCCAGGACACGCCGTCACAGGCTAGCTCGAGCGGTCTTCCTGGAGTCCCTTCAGTGTGCTTACTATCTCATGAGCAGCGTCCGGCAGCTAACCACCAAGTTAGGCATGGGCTGAACCAGTCGCGCCAAACTGTGGCAGGTCTTGGTCTCTCTATGATGCAATTGGAGAGTATGGGCGAGATTAACCGTCAGCAGTCTCCCACGCCGACCATTCCCGACGACATCAACATCGCCCCGGCCGCGCAAAGAACCCACAGCGAGCCTGACATCGCCTCGACTAGGGCCAACTCGGTCCAAAACGAAGCGAGCGTATCCAGCCCGTCGCGCGCGATCCTCGAACAGGTCGTCGAATTCAATCGTAACATTCAGCTTGACGTACCTGGCGACACCATCCCGAATACGTATAACCCCGATGACTACATACAAACCGCTACCGAGGCTGCCACTCCAAGCGCTGCAAACACGCCTGATTTGGGGGCTGTCGATCAGGCAGTACAAGACGGAAAGAACTTCATCGACACACTTGCGCGCATGACTTCGAATACGCAACAACAGTCGGACAGCTCACAAGAGCGACCAACTGAGGCTACAGTTCCCGCGCAACTCGTGCTGACGAATTCTCCGTCAGCCCCGCAAGAGCAGCTACAGAACCTCCTTGGATCGGCTTCCCCACAGGGTCTGCAAAAACTAGTCTCTTACCTCGCACCGTTGCACAACCTCTTGAACTCGATACCAAACGTCGCCAACACCATGAGAGACCTGGGCGGTCGCCTGGATATGCTCGAGAATGGATCCTTCAACTATGTCCAGCCTGAGGAGTTGAACCGGACCTTGGAGATGTACGAAGACAGACTCATCGATGTAGAGCACCGCATGGATGAACACAACAGGATGCATCAGGCCATGGACGATCAAGGTAGTAACAGTTCATTCGGTCCAAGGCGCATCCACAACGTGACGACGTCCTTTGGCTCCAACGACTCTGGGGAATCCGCTACTTCATCAGCGCTTATCCTCGCTGCTATGGACCGCAAAGACACGGAGATGGAGCTTGATGACATCAGGGACCGGCTGGACCTGCTCGAAGCCGCAGCTATGCCTACTTCTTCGAATCCTTGGGAAGTAGAAGTGGTTCTGCTACCTTGGGGCCCCGACTTGCGCGGAATCTGGTTTTCACCGGACGAACCGATGCATGAGACGTCTGGGATGACGCAAAATTCTGAAGAGTGGACTCAGGCCCGGAGCTCCACGGTGACTACAGGCATGCCCTTCTCACAACATGCTGGACGAGATACAGACTCAAGTCCTTATCCAGGTGCCCGAAGCTCAGACAGTGGCTCATTACACAATCCCACCGAAAGTGGATGGAGCAGTCAAGACATTAGTAACTGGGCTTCTGGGCCCACCGATGAGTGGCTGTTTGCGAAAGCTTGTGGAAGCAACAACATGGTCTACAAAAGACTCCAAAGCCGAGGTTTTGTCCGAGACGTCACATTCAGAGGCGCTAGTGCCAGGGATATCCAAGAAACTTTGTCCAAGACTTTTTGCGATGTGTTTGACTATTTGCAGTTTGACGACAGCGAAGAAAATCCTATGGTCACTGCCTTTCCAGGTCTCCGGGCTCCCTTCATTCCGTTGCGAAAAGTGCTCAAGGATTCAAGACTACGCTTCCTGACGCCTGCTGAGATGTCCAGCTCCGCGATCTGGTCGGCTCAGTTCCTCGCTGCTGGTATCATGATGCGAGTTTCTGGTGGCAAGAAGAGATTATATGTAACGGTTCGCGAAGCCTATACTCAGCAAGTCGATCGGAACGAATTCATGGCCATGGAGCAATCTTGGCCCGAATTACGACAGTTACCCCGCTACCAGCTTGGCCAAGATTCTCAAATGGAGGGTAACGACGAACAATGTCAGCCTCAGGTCCCGGAAGCAGACGCCAAGGAGGCGTGCTGGCGGTTTGTAGAAGAATATGACGCCCCGCCTGCTAGTGCCCATTCCTCGTTTGGTAGTAATCGACCCGTAGCGCTATCGATGCGACCGGCTGGTCGACAGTGGCGACGCTCGATAACTCCAAGTTCCATCCTGAAGATCAAACAGGCGCAGCCCATCTCTCCATTGAGTGAGAATCATCTGCAGCGCCCGACATATTATCGAAATCGGACTGTATCCACATCGATCGTGGACACGCTCCCTCCTGGATCATCAAAGCGCCGTTTCAACTCGTCTCCAGTCAAACAATCGTCTGCACCTCAGCCGGACTTGCGTGTTTCCAGTCTATCCATAGCGAGGCTCAAGCGGCGTCGCGTCACGAACTCCTCGTCTCCCCGACCAGAGCTAGATGCCCCGGCCGAAGCACGGGCACCCTTATGGAATGCCACCCCTCGACGCTCGCGAGAACCACCTTCACCATTCCACTCTTCGCAGCCTGCCCTACCACGATCGAACTCGGATGTCACAAATCGGCCAAGCCAACGATCTATCGCCGTAGTAGGTAAATTAACACCATTCGCATACGCAACGCCTCATTCAGGCCCTTTCGCCGGCGGCCCGGGCTTTGGCGCCTATAACAACGGCGGTGATACAGAGCCAGATGACGACAATGACGCGTATGACGACGATGACGGGGAGCAAAGCTGGCATGGCGTAACAGACGGCGATAACGACAGCGCCTCGAGCTCGGCGTCTGATGCTGAGGCTGGTGGACAAGAGGGAGTAAGCTTCTCGGGCGATGACAGTGGCTTTGGCAGCGTCAGCGGGGACGAAAGCGATGGGCATTCAGAAGGAGAGGGCGAGGTCCATGCGCAACGGAAGCATGAAAACGATGAAGATGAAGAGGATGTATTTGACTCTTTGTTAAGTGTCATTGAGGATTAGACACGGCCCACCGACAGCTGAAAATGTCAGGGCGGCTTCGAACATGGCGCATTGGATCTGGGGAGAGTAGGGGCAAAAACATGGGTTTCAGGCTTCACCAACACAGCTGGGATTAGCTTTCTTTTTTTTTTGTGTGTACTATATATACTGGCCTCCTCTGTTCTAGGGCACTCCGGTTGAGCATTTCTCATCGGTATACCCTTCACCTGGGCTGCGATGATCCCTCTTGCATTCCCCCTTTCTACTAGTCTGTTTCTTTTTTGTCTCGTATGTTTCCCCCTGGATCAGCAGCGCTTTGTATAGTAGTAAACCTAGCAATCGATGTTATTCAGCTTTTGAATTATTTCGCATTCTCCCTCCTTTGGGGTGGCTGAGTAGGTAAGCGCAATAGATTATATCTAAAACATTTCTTAGGTGCATTTAACGACATAGGGCATACCCCCGCCGTATGTGTGTGCTTGTTAAGTGCGTTTGTTCTCAAATTGGGCAATTGTTTCGGTAGATAGGAGCATGGAAGGATAAGATCCCCATGAGATGATTACCAAGCTACACAATGAATGCTTTACGGCTTCACGGCTTTGATCTGCCTGCAAAAGAAGAAACATCTTCACGCTAATCCTAGCGCAGGCAGACAGATGAAATCAAAGGGGTTCTTATACCTAGTATGTTTTTTTTTCTGACTTGAATTAGCGGCTTGTTTGCGTTGCGTGCTTGGCTGTACATTATTGAAGCGGCGGTACGGCTTTTGGCTCCAGTGCGATATTTTGGTCATTTTTTTTTATATGCGGAAACAATTGATTATGGTAAGCTGGGCAAAAAAAGTGCAAAAAAAGATAGATGGACTCGCGGGGAATCTGATATGAAATGTTAGGAGGAGATTTCGAATATCAGGCGAGTTTGGGGACGTACCGAACCCCGGACCACTCCCATGCTAAGGGAGTATTATACCACTAAACCACAAGCCCGTTGCGAGTTTTGATGAAAGAGATTTCTTTTTCTAAAATATAACCTTTGAAATAGAATGCGATACTCAGATGATTTTTACTGTCTCCTAGTCACTGCAGTAGTACTCAAACGCGATTAGTCAGAAACATATAATTGAAACCCGATAAAGATTGATGTTGCAAGAGCGCTCTGTAGTCAGCCGCAACCAACTAATCACCGGCTGCCCACCTCGAGATAGAGCGTGGTGCATGAGGCCGAGCCATGCCATCAATCAAAAGGGCGTTGGGGGCGCTTCAGCTCTACGATGTATTGGCTGTGTGCAAGGCAGACTTACGCTACATACACAAGTGGCCAAGCGATGGCACGGGGCATGTGCCGCTATTGGCCGAAGCGAACATGGGTCTGTATTGCGGCGGGTGGAAAAGAACACGAAAACCGGATTGCGACCCCGTTGCTCTGAAAGTGGGATTCCGAAACCCAGATATTAGGCCGAATTGCATTGATGGCGCATGCTGGCGCATGCTGGCCTATGCGCATAATACTGTCGCATGGTCGCATCCACAGGAGCGAGCTTCTGGGGCGGCGATCGAAACCGAAGCACAGGGCATCGAGTGCCAGTCAGAGGCCCGGCGCTACCACTAAATGGCCAGCTAGTTGGCGTCTGCTGTCAGGGAGCTTCTGCTGATTGGCCGCTCGTTCATCTCAATATCCTTTGCCTCCGCCATCTTTGATATTTTGTTGACGACATTGTGGTGTGAGAAGACCTCTTGAACTTCGGAAGTACGCAACATGCTAGAAGACCATAACGAAAGCGCACTTTTTGGCCACCTGCGCGGGGAATGTAAGAAGATATCACTCATGGTTCAAGATTTCGAGGCCGAGATATCAGCTTTAGAGCAGCCCTCTCAAGCCCGGACAGGTGTTAGACAACTTCGCTCTGCGCCGAAGACCGCCAGGGAACGCGTGCGTAGGTATATGAGGATTGAGATTGAAGCGGAGGCGTAGGTTGGGTAGGGGGAAAGGTTGTTGTGTACTGCTTCAATCGTCCAATCTCAACAACGACACTTCGCCCTTCTCCAAATCAAAAACACCATGAACACCTTCCATGAATGCGGAGCCCAGTACTACCCATTCTTCTTCGGCCTGCGGTAGATAGGCGAAGGGAAGCACGCAGCGCTTACCCTTGTCGATGTCTTGCACCTCGGTCAAGTAGTTCCATGGCGTGAGCACGATTACTGCGTCCTTGCTAAACGAAAAGACGATATTTGGTAGTTCGTCGCGCATCAAACAGTCCAGGTCCGCGAGCTGATCGCCCATGCCTAGATTCGGGTGGAGATGAGTTTGGATCTCGGCGAGTAGGGTGGCTGGGAGCGAGATGTAGCTGAAAGAGTTGGTGAAGACGGCTCTGTATGTAGAGTGCTTCCTGATGTTCCCAGGAAAAGACTGGATGGTTACTGAGTCCAGTCTGACTATGTAACCGCTCGAGATGTAGTACGATAGTTGGCTGAGGTCCTCGGGCGGTGTGGCTTCGATCAGGGGGACGGTGACCGCATTTTGCGCCTGGGTTCCCGATGAGTTGTAGCCCAGCGCCAACTCGCCGCTTTTGTTATCACGACGGGGAAGTCTCAGCGAGAACACAGGGCGGCTGAGAATCTTCTGATCCAGCATGTTCCGCAGTGCGCTCTTGGTACTAGCATTCGAAGCCGGTGTGCGACTTTGAAAGCGTGCAAGGCCCAGCGCGCTATCCAAGGGCGCTGCGTTAGAGTACATGGATCGCCAGAATGTCGCTTCTTCGAATTGCTGGTCACGGATGTCCAGATCACCAATCTTCAACACATCTCGCGACAAACGGCCTGATGTCGAGAGGCCTTCATACATGATCTGAGTGGCGGTTTTGTTGGGCTGATAAGTACTGGACAGCGAGGAGTCATACTTTTTTTGTCCCCGGCAGTACTGCGCTGTGGTGGGGTCTTTCATACACTCGACGGATGGGACGAATGTGTCTGACCAGCTCAAATCGATGGATGCGGTGAAGGGCTGTGGCGGGGTTCCAATGGCTATTGTGGAGGTGTATAGGATGTGGTAGAACGTTGATTGATCACGGCGATTGAGCGGATGTTGATTGCCCGTCTGCTACGAAGTCAGCTGTGAGCCATATGTAGACTTCTGGAGGAATCGTAGCACGCGGACCTCGGGTTGTTGGAAGGTGCCGACATGTTCGTTATACAGTTGCCAGTCGTCGAATTTGAAGCGAATGGTTGTGCGCTTGATTGGTATCGTCGCTATGGCGGCGCTGCACAGAGGAAGAAGGACGAAGATCAGGATGGTATGTATCTCGTTGCTTAGCATCTTTGGAATGTGAGCTCGAGTTTCGAGAACTTGGGGGCGTAGTGAAGATAAGAAATTGGAGCGTGTACGTCGAGGCACCTTATCTGCTACCTAGGTAGAGACGTTTCACGTTGAAAACGTAGCTCTAATGGAAAACGCCCGGGCGTAATATGACGTCAGAAGCGTCAATAACTGCAGGTGGTCAGAGTGGTGTGTTCAACGCTGATGATTGTTTCGTCGTTGCGGAGCGGAACACAGGTACATAGATACTAGGTAATCATAAAAGAGCTAAGGGCCCACAGGAGCGAGACATCTCTGGTGCTGGACGTCGTGGGGTGAAGCGAAACACGACGAACAGGGCGGCAGCGTATTCGTGGCGGCTTAGCAGACCCCAGCAAATTCAAATGTGGCGCGGAAATTATTATTTTGGACGTCGTTAGGTCTAATGAAACATGCCCAGACGTCAATCCTAAAGATGTATGTAGGGCGTAATCGTAACCGTCTTACCGGCTTCGGGCGACCTAGGAGCGCCCAGCCACCCACTCCAATCCTTTCCTCCACAACTTGCTCAACTCAGCTCTCGCCCACACACCTCAAAATCACTCGCAACGAGCAAAAAAGCGATGGCTCTACTCATGCACTTGGTCAATAAGTCTTTCTGATTGATGTTCTCCACAATTGCGCCCAACGTGGACCATTTGCGGAACCTGCGGGTTGTCTATGCTCCTGGGGAACAGAATTTTAATTCGATCAAGAAACGTTTTCCTTGGCTTGCAACAACCAGAAACATGTGAGCTGTTGACGATCGATATACCCCCTCCCCCCCCCCCACTGACCGGGAGCCTAGCGTGGTGTAGCGAGCAGGGGTGTTTCTCTTGTAAAAGATTGCGCAGAGGCTCGTAAGCGAAAAGACGCTAGACTCGGGTGTATATGGGTTTGGATGTGAGACATGTGGCACAGTTCGGACAGTCAAACGTACCTCGGTAAAGCCGAAGATGACGTTCAGACGAAAGTTCGCCCAGATGGATGAGCATCCTCAGCCGACAGTCTCATGAACAGCTTTTTGTCTGTATCTCAGAGCTACGATCTTCAAAATACAATCTCAAACGCGCGCCCTGATAGAATGAGGTGTATCATGAGACCTCAGTCCCCAAAGAAACATACTCTTGATGGAAGACTCTCAGATGATATGCGGCACTGTCATATCATGTCATCCGTTGACCGTCACTGTACTATGCCATGGAAAAGAATAGTCAGCTAAGTCATGTTTCAAGCTTTGGGGCTGACAGTCGATGGAACAAAACCTCAATCCTATGCCGCAATCCTTTACCAGGATACGCCGAGCGGCTCACCGAACCCCGAACGGAACATGCCAGTTCGGATCAAGTCTTATTATTTGCCAGAGCTCGCTAAGATCTACACCATGGCCCAAATATGGCTTCCACAAGCGCACTGCAAGAGGGCTATGAGCTTGCTAGTCACTTCAGGACGACGACCCCACAGGAATCTCTTTTCGTCTCCGGTCATTACTTTAGAAAATCTACCCAACAATCACGCCGGTCGTGTCCTTGCTACGCCCTGTTTCGTCTTGCTACGCCGTTGTATCTGACAAGGCCGTGTTGTGCCTTGCCTGAAATGGCGTGTATAATGTGAGTACTTCTTGGGTTTCTGCTCAGTATGAATCAAGGGGACACTCGTCATTCAGCGATCTACTTCATCGTTCCCATTCACTCCAAATCCCTTGAATCTTTCAGCTCCATCGCTTTCGAAGGCTTTTTGCCGTCTCTTCCATAGGGTACAGCTACGGTGAACTTCCCTTCCTATAACATGTGGCACACAATGTGGAATTCGTCTCATTTGACTACTTTTGTTACGATCTCGGGTACGTAGGCTACAAAACAGTTATGCAGGTCAAAACTGACATCGATCAGCGCTGTGCGTATCTGTCGTACAATCGAGAGTCTTTCCGCGCCAGTCGGTTTCTTCTGCGCAAAGTTCCGGGACAGCTCCTTCCCTGCCAACTCCTTCCAACACGGATCTTTTCAGTCCTGACTTCTATGAGTTCCTAAAGTCCGGCGACATCTCACCAGAAGGCAATAATCCAGATCCTTCCCCTTCTGCGTGGATTGCCCTGGGCGATTCTTTCGCGGCCGGCCCCGGTGCAGGCGACGAATTACAAGACGGCGCAAACTGCGTGCGCGGGAACCAGAACTACCCCTTACAATTGCAGGCAGATGCAGAAATACCAGGCCCAAACGGTCCACGTGGTCAAAAGCCAAAATTTACACTCAAAGCTTGCACCGGCGATGTCACAACGGACCTTACGAATCAAGAGAACCCAAACTATCAATTGGGTGATGTCAAAAGTGACACATCCTTTGTTACTCTTTCGATCGGGGGCAACGACGTCAAGTTTGTTGACATCCTCAAGAAATGTGTCTTTGGGTTCCCCCCAGCTGTAGGGGCTGACTGCGACGCGCGTCTCAGCACATCTCGAGATATCCTCTTTGGCCAGAAATTTCACGACCGCTACAACGATGTGATGAACGGCATCTTGTCCAATATGGCGTGGGATAAACGAGGGTACTTTCGAAGTAACACCGGAATCTATCAAACCGGTTACTCTCAATTCTTCGATTCATATACCGACCAGTGCGATGATACTTCGTTCTACATTATCGACTTTGTTGGG